ACAGGGGTGACTGCTAGACTGTTGCTAAATACGTAAAGTTAGGGCAGGTGGGAGAATGGAAGACGGGAGGAAATGAAGAGCAGAAGAGGAGAGGGGAAGGAGAGGGCAGCTGAAGAAGCAGGGAGTCCAGACTGGGACTGGACTGGGACCCTGCACCCCAGCGCACGCTCACCTCGAAGATCCCATTTGATGCTACATTCAACAAAACACCTCATTATCGTATTCCACGCCCATGTTCAAGACCCAGAATACTAAGAATTGAGATGGCAAATGAGATGCCCAAGTATCACCACAGCAGAGCCAAGATGTTGACAAGCTGTGGGTTGTCCCGTCACACACCGGTGGCTCCTGTGCAAAGAAATGATTCAGGGAAGACAGAGGAAAGGAAGCTCAGAGAAGACGAGGAAGGAAAAATCATAAAACACAGAGGGAAACAGGAAAATGAAGAGGAGGTGATGTAACAAGAGAGACGGGAAGGTGCTAAAAGCCTCTTCTGGATGAACTCTACTGTAAACATTATTTCTCTTCACACATAAACAGGGATGTTAAAATGTTATTACTCACGAAAACAATAACGTAAAAGTAAGCCCCAATGGGTCAAGTTTTCTGTCACAAGAGCAACAACAAAAATCCCAGCATTCCCAGAGTGGCCTCAGGCCTAATCAAGACTTCCTGGCTGGGGATATAGCTCAGTTGGTAGAGTACTTGTCCAGCATGAATGAGGCCCTGGGTTTGGTCCCCAGAAGACACATAAAATGGCAGAATGGTGATGCATCCCTATAATCTCCGCCCTTGAGAAGTGGAGACCGGAGAACAGAGGTTGAAGGTCAGCCTGTGTTACAATGCCAGTCTGAAGCCAAGAGAGCTTCATGACACCCTGTCTCAAACACGCCAAGAGGGAATTCTCTTTATCTACATACATACATACATACATACATACATACATACATACATACATACATATCTGTAAAATCCAGGAAGAAGGTATAGCAAAGGAATCAACATCTGAAGACCAGGCACAACCTCTGGAAGTGAAACTGACTCTGAATATCCACAGGACCCACAGGAATTAGCACACTAGCTTCTCCTCTCTCCAAGGCTACAATTCCTCACAGTAAGAGGGGAGAGTGGAGTGTGTCGGGAGCAGGTGCTCGCTTCAAAGATTAGAAAACACTTGGGAGACGGGAGGAGTACAACCCAAACTAGTAATATGTGAAAAATACACAAGGAAGGCTGACCTTTACAAGCTGATGAAAACATAAAACAATAATAATTTGAATGGAGGTACCTTGGTAGGTGAATAAAGCTGCCCTCAGAGGCAAGGCCACAGGTTATTAAATGAAAATTCCAGGGCCAGAAGTGGGCCCATCTCCCTACAAGCTGCTAGGCAGGGAGGACCCTGACACACAGATAGACAGACAGACAGACAGGGAGGACCCTGACACATAGACAGACAGACAGACAGACATACACACACATACACACACACACACACACACACACACACACACACACACACACCCCAAAAATAATGGTAAATTGCCATTGGCTGCTCGTCAGAACTGGATAGTGAGGCCTATTGCTGAAAATACCACACACTGTGGCTGTGGGACACAGGGAAAGAATGAAGCTGCAATTGGCCTGGAAGCTTCCTCCCTGCTGGCTAGTCCTCGTGGCACAATCAGGTGCTATGCAGGCTGCTGGGGAAAACTGTCATCCATCGTGGTATTCAACTTTGGGCCCCATGTTCAGCAAGACTGACCTGCCAGGCAAGATGAAGCCACTGGCGGACCAGTGGCAAGGGCCAATACGGGGAGGTAACCACTGATTGGAGGCCCTCTCCACAGGAGGGAATTCACATCCGGCATCAGGAACCTGGTCCAAAGCCTGTGGTTGGGAAGGCTGTCGGCCCTGGTTCCTGCTGTTGTTTTGCTTCGTATGATGTGCATTTCAGACTGCCTTCCAAACAACTCAGTGCATGTACATAGAACGGTACTAATGTTAGCACTGATCATTGGAGTTTCTTACCTGCAGTGCTCCATGGTAACTCTAGAGACTCATACTGGTTAAAGTGCTAAGCATAAATGACTACTGAATGCTCAGCCATCAATCAACAACACACTCCTCCAAGGCTTAGGGACCAGGAAGACAAAGAGTCAGAGCGAACTGGGGAGGGCAGTGTGTAACACTGGCTGGGAGGCATGATACAGCCGCTGCACTCTGGGGCTCACAGCAGATGCAATTACCTGCACATGGCAAGGCCTGTCAACAGCTTGTCCCCGAAGTGGGAGGGCTCATAGGGTCCCACCTGCCCCCCTACGGATTTATGTGCAGCTAACATTGAATGGGGGGAGGGGACGGACACACGTTTTCTTCACTGGTATGGAAATTGGTAAAGGGCCTGTGTGCCTGTAAACAATCTTCATGAAATTCACTGATTGGGTCATCATCATTAAAAAAAGAAAGGACAGTAGAAAGGAGGTTGGATGAGAAGAGGAAACCGAAGATGAGGGTGGGAAGAGAAGGCAACGGGAGTGACTGTGATTGACATATATCATAACGTGCATAAAAACAGCATAATCAAACCGATCAACAGCTATAATACATGCTAACGAAAATTTAAAAATAAGTTTGTCCAAAAGTCGCTCCAAGGTTAAAATTTTCCAAAGCAACGACAAGGAAACATCCAATCGTAAGAAACAGAACATCAACACGTACCAGATTCTGTTTGGCTAGTGCTATGGTCACCAAAAACCTTTCATAAAAGCATAAAGGATGCTGCTGAGTGCTCGCTAGTCCCACTGGCAGCCAAGCACAGGGCAGCCGCACATGGCTGAAGGTTCAGCATCCCGCCAGGGAGCCTCCCGACAAGTGCAAAGGCAGATATGGAGAATCAGCGCTTTGCTGAACACAGAAGACTTCCTGCGCAGGAGCAGAGCTGCCGCTTAAACGTCCAGGTCTGATACCAAAGGAGGCATCCTGGTACGAAGATCACAGGCTAACGCCAGCTGGAGGGGGCTGGAATCAGCACAGCATGGTGGGCCAGTGGCACCCCGAGGAAGCCCCCTGACTTTGCACCCTCCTTCCACACACACCATTGCCTGCTGGGGCGGAACCTGCGTGGATGGAGGTCAGAGCTGGACACGCTTCTTTCTCCACCGGTTTCCTGCTATGCCTCCTCATCGACTTAGGGCACAGGAGCTTGCGTGATCCTAGGGCCATAGTGCCCAGAGGGTAAAAATCAATTGGCAAAGCCTTCTGGATCCTTTCTGTAAAATGTGAGCGGATGCTTGGGAAGCCACGTCTCATCACTAGTACTACAAAGTACATTAGCATCTGAACATTCAGAATCACTGCCATTCTAACACTAAGAAAGCCAAATGAAAAGAAAACAAAAAGCTGTCTGTGGGAGACAAAGATAATTCCCCATGGCGGGGACATAAGCCACAGTCAGCACAGCCAGACCAGCAATGGGCAATTTAAGGATCCGGCGGCAACCTTTCAATTCTGTTTCATTTTTAATAGCAAATGTCACCCTTAGCACATTTGGCCCCAAAAGACACTGTGTTTTTTGTTTTTGTTTTTGTGTTTTTGTTTGTTGTTTTTAAACAGGTTATCTTCCATGCAGGTGAGAACAGGCCCTTTAGGAACACAGTTGGAAGACACTAAATAAAACAAATAGATTCTGCCTTGATGAATCAGCACAGGCTGTTAAGCAGAAAAGCCAAAGCCGTTTTGTTTTGTTTTGTGCGAAATTGCTTGGTTTTACAGCAGGAAGAACGTACCTGAGGGAGAGCCAGCTCTCATAATTGGATTTTCACAGATACAGAAACTGAAATTGTTTCTTCGAGGAGTGTTATGACACGCAGAGATCTTGCAACTATCTAGTATAATCCCAGCCTCCAAGAGGGCGGTAGGCAGAGAGAGGGTTTTCCTAAACAAGAAGCCTACTCTCACAAGGCTGTCCAGGCTATTAGTCCACAGGCTTTGTAGTCAGAGGTGAGAGCATCCAGTCAGTGTGGAGCGAGGCCCCAGCACTAAAGAATGCCCTTGGAGATTGGTCCAACTTCTCACTCAGAAGAGAAAAAGATGGCTTAGAAAAGAGGAACGAGCAGGTCTGAGCACCACAGGAGTGGAAGCAGGTCTCTCTCTCTCTCTCTCTCTCTCTCTCTCTCTCTCTCTCTCTCTCAGCATCATGGATGCTTTAGTGCTAGACGTGTGTGTGCGGTGGTGGCTGCCCTGCATGCTGGAGAATGCTTAGCATCAACCCCGGTCAGCAGCAATCGCTCCCACCCAAATGTGACAAAAACAGATGTCTCCAAACACAACCAAATGTCCCCCGAAGGGGCAGCGCCTTCCCAGTTAAGAACCACTGGCTTTGAAATGGGTATGACTGACAATCAAACCTCTCTGAGGCCTGCCCGGGTGGTGTTTCCATAGCTCATGAATGTCTTTTGTTTTTAAATAAATGATTTGGAACTAGGGAGACGTGATTAATGCAAGAAGCCAACACAAGCGCTGACTACGTGCCAAGTGGTCTTATTAACAAGCTCTTAAAACCTGACTCCTACAAAGGTGACCGAAACACACTGGCCTGTTGTACCTCGTGTGACTGGAAACACATGTAGCTATAGAGAAGCTAAGACTAACAGAATCTCTAAGACGATGAGTCTCACTTTGGGGCTAAGTAAAATACAGAAATACCATATCCAGAGGTACTTCAAGGAGAAATCTCCACACAAACCGCAAACTCCTCCCCACCTTAGATAAATTCAACACACATTATACCCTAAATATAGAATTATCTTAAAAAAAAAAAAACAAGAATGTGCTTAAACTATCAAGTTATTTACTATCTTACCTAGAGATAAGAAACTCAAAGAGCAGAGGTTTCCTAAATGAGTGATTGTGGCCTTGGGACCATCAGGGAAGGAGGCAGCTCATGACCCCAGGGCAGCGACCATGGCAGAGCTGTAGGTACTGCGGTCTTTAAGTATTACCTGTTTCTCTTTTTCCGGTGCTCGCGGTTAGAATTTTCTGACTCACTGCCACTGCTTGTGTTACAGCGGGAGCGGGACCTGAAGACCAAGCAAAGACGGGAAAATGTATGACAAGTTTGTAGAGAGGTTCATCCGGTACTCCAGGTGTGAGTGTGAGCAAAACCACTAATCCAAACACAAAGAGCCATGTTACCCCTCTCCCAGGAGTGTTTCCGGACTCAGTCAAACATTAAGTCCACAGCTCAGAGAAAGAGCAAGGCAGGAGGAAGAAAGAAGCACATTAAGGGAAATGGATTCCCAGAAAGGACTCCGGAGACCCAGCGTGCCTAACAAAACCCAACTCGGCAAAGCCAAACGCACATGGTGGACAAAATAGGGATGCCATCTCATCTTCTCCAACCCTTCCAAGGGCAGGTAGAGTTTATTCCTACTGCTCTCAACTTGTACTGATCGTGTGACAGGCTTCACTAACAGAATGAGGTGTGGGGATAGCCTGCTAGTTCCAAGAGGAGCCCAAATCAGGGCCATGCGCTCTGCTTCCTTCCAACCACGCTCTAAGGAAGCCTGTGCTCCAACCACCCTGCCAAGATGCTATATCTACCTGAGAGAGACCCTTTGGGCAACACAGCATCAGCTACCATCTGACCACTGTTCAATCCACGTGGACACACACACACACACACACAGACACACACACACACACACACAGACACACAGACACAGACACACACACACAGACACACACACACACAC